TTAATATGTATGTACATTGTGTTTAAAGTGGTTTAGCTTAAAGACCTTGCACTTGTTGTGGTTGTTAACCCTAACCCTAACCCTAATCAAGTCACAGATTATATCCATTTATGGTGGTGTTCAAACCTGAATAAAAGGCCTCTGCAGAGCTTGATAACCTGCTACGCTGGTATTTAACTAATTGAATCTGGTGTGTTGGTGCAGGTCAACAACTAAAACATACTGGCTAGCTGCCATCAAGGACCGGGGTTGGACACCCCCGATCTTGTCCTTGCTTTCTCAGTTCAGTCAGATCCTATTGTTGCCATACTCAATGTTAAAACCAGTAACTACTTTTCTTCCAATTCCTCTCAGAAAAAAAAGTTAGGAGCCTGAGAAGGTAGTGTTGGATAGTGAACTAGCCAGGCCTTCTGCCTCACATGCAAACCTGCCGTTAGCTTTTTATTTCAAAGTTAAAGGTATAGCGGAGTATCTTTTTCTTCTGGGCGGATCATCTGAACCATTGGTCTGCATAACTGTCAATCATTCTGATGAACCATTCATGCAAGGGTAGTTTTCACTTTCTGAGCAAAGTGAAGGTTGGGCTCCCCACAGACGCTGCTGGTTTTTGCTTGACAAGTAAGCTAAAATCGGAATGATATTTGGAGAAATTCATCTCGACTACTGCTAGAAGAAGTTAGCTGCGAGGTTGGCAGCTACTTGTAAGCAGAGCGTGCACATGGATAATTGAGTGTTCTCTTTTATGTGCATTTTTTTTCAAAATGTGAAGAGGGCGGAATCTTGATGTGACCTTTGACCCAGCTCTCACCCTGGATTCTCATGTCAGTTATTTTGTTCGCTCTTCCTTCTTCCATCTCAGGAACATTGCTAAGCTGAGTCCCATTCTGTCCCGCTCTGAACTTGAGACAGTTATCCACACCTTCATCTCCTCACGCTTAGACTACTGTAACTCTCTTTTCACGTGTCTGAGCAGAACCTCCCTGAACCGTCTACAGGTGGTTCAGAATGCCTGTGCTCGGCTTCTGACCAAGTCCTCCAAATACACCCACATCACCCCGCTTCTCCTCCAGCTTCACTGGCTGACAGTCAACTTCAGGGTTCATTTCAAGATCCTGGTTCTGGTCTATAGGGCCTTACATGGACAAGCACCATCTTACATTGGTGATCTTCTTAGTCCCCACACCCCCAGCAGGTCCCTGAGGTCCAGTGATCAAAGCCTGCTGGTTGTGCTGCGCACCAGGCTAAAGACCAAAGGTGACAGATCATTTGCTGCTGTGGCCCCCAGACTCTGGAACTCTCTCCCCCTGAGCCTGAGATCAGTGGACTCAGTGGTCTCCTTCAAAAAGCAGCTGAAAACTCACTTGTTCAGGCTGGCTTTTGCATGACCTTCTTCACCCCTCTATTCTGCTCTCCCCACCTATTCCACCTTCCTCAGGATCCACTGATTTCCCTCTTATCTATTCACTCTCACTCTTTCTTTACATTTTTTAATCACAATTATCTGTTTTTTGCTCATTTTAAATATGTTTTTAATAAGTTTCTAAATTCTTTTTGATATTTTTACATTTTTTGTTTTTGTGAAGCGCCTCGTGATTTTTATCTTGAGAGGCGCTATAGAAACGATATTTTCTTCTTATTCTTTCCTGAAATTCAGAAACGTCTCCCGCCATGCTGCAAAATCATGCAAACTCTGGTGAATTGTTGCAAATGTTCATTTTTAAATACTATTATCTTAAACCGGAGTGATGGATATCAGATCCTGTGGTAGCCTTTCCATGGCTGTTTGTGTTTTTAACTATTGGAAAGATTTCAAAACAATGGTCTTTATCTTTTCTTTTGAAATTAGGAAAAAAGTTCAAAGGAGTTCACTCTGTCCATCCATCTCACACAACTGATGAAGAGCTCCAAGCAACAGATGGGAAAGGAGAAAGCTGGCCTGCTTTGTGTTTGGTATAACAAGAGAAAACACTGCACTGTTTCTGGAATGTAATAAAAAAAAAAAGACTTTAATCTGCAGAAACAGAAAAAACAGACACAAAACGTGTGCTTTTTCTTTTATACCTTAAAACCAGAAACAAAACTTTGGCTGTTTTCAGATCAACAAAAGATGCGTTCTATAGATTATTGTGACTTTTGCTGTTTGAAGTTGACGGTAATTCGTTGTTTGCAGTCACAAACAAAAGAAAAGAATGAAAATGTTTGTGGATAGGTTTTCCTTTTTCTTTTTACATTTTCGTGACAGCAGGAAATAAACAAATTGGGCCTTTTCAGCCACCAAAACGTAATGTGACTCTAACTCTAACTGGTAACTGTGTGTTGTGTGGTAAATGCTAATGATTAGTCTGTATACTACATGACTGTTTGAAAATCTTCAGTATTTTGCAGGACCTCATTTTGCTGTCGATTTCTTTCCCACACAACACAAGGAAGTCAAAAACTTGGCCACCAAGCATCAGAATAAATTTGCATAGCCAAATAATTTCCAACGGCAATGTCAATGGTGGCGAATGACTAACAGATAGTTTGAACCTTTTCTCACAGTCCTATCTAAATGGATGCCTTGGCTATAAATTTGTTTTGTGAATCATTACATCAAACCCAATGGACTGATCAAAATGAACTAGTAAGGCATACACACAACGAATAATGAAACTGTAACTGAGTGAAATAAATTACTTTTATCATGCTAGAATAAACGCAGACAACTATCAACACGCACTGGCCAATTTATGAATGTATAACTTTTTTCACAGAATTTGAAAAAAGTTTTAAACACATTTAAACATTAACCAACTGAAATGTTCCACATGATCAGTCACAGCCAGTGTGTTTTGCTCTCCATCTGCCATCTTAACGTGCAATGGCTTAAACATTAAACACTGCAAGATGATTTGATTGTTTAGAGCAAAATTAAAATAAACCCCTTATGTGATCTTTTCCCAGCCCTAGTGGTAATATCATAATCCTCAAAAAGTGTTTGTAGCCTACAGCCACCATCATCACTATTTGAACCCACCAGGTTTGCTGGAACTCTAAAGAGATTCAAACAGACGAAAAAAATAATAATAATGAAAAATATTTTTCAATGTTCACAAACTCAATATTTTACTAAGCTTCAGTTCTAATCAGAACTAATAATGTTTTCATTTCAAAACTTTTCTTAAACAAGAAAAGATTTCAATCGGGCCAGACTTAGTTTTAAATTATGCAGGTTCCTGTTCTGCAGAACTTCAAACCGCAACCTCAAACATTCATACTAAAGCAACACAAAGCAATCACACAAACACCCATGATCCAAAAAAGGCAAGAAGTTGTAACTCCATCTTCAACAGTTTTTACATGTGAAACTGCTCAACAGATGAGAGATTAATGTTCTTTTGAACTGAAGTAATGTTGGCGCTGTCCTTACGTCATGTGGAGTTTCATCCCAAACTTTAGTCCAAGCATTAAAGAACGACCTCTGGCTGTGTGAGTTCCTAAAGGCAGTGTTTTCAGTATGTCTTTTTTTTTTTTTTTTTTTTTTACAGTTTATGCCGTTATTGTCCATGATAGCACCCCTTTTAACAAGGAAAAACACTAAATATAAATTATGGATTTTTCTTTACTTTTTTATGGTGGTGGGGGTGAAGTTAAAAGAGCTTTATGCATGTCAATCCAGTAATAGAATATTTATTTTGGTGTGTGTGTGAGTGTGCTTTTTTTTGTACTGGTTTATGGTGTGCTTTTCCTCAGCAGAGCATGGGGAGGTGGTGCCTATCTCCAACAGTCAATGGACATAAGGAAAGGGACACTCTGGACAGGCTGCTAGTACATTATAGGGACACAAAGACAAACATCCACTCACACCTGGTCCGTGATTAACCTAACCCATGCTTTTGGTCTGTGGGAGGAAACTGGATTACCCGCAGAAACCCCACATATGCACAGAGAGATTATGCTAACTCTGTGCAGAAAAGCCACAGCTGGCGTTCAAACCAGCAACCTTCTCCCTGCAAGGCAACAGTGTTACCAACTGCGTGGCTCTGCATGAAACAAATCATAAAAATCCTATGAACGATCTCTGTGTTCTTCTTTTAAACATTAAATCTTTTGATCAGAGTATTATTAAACTACTCTATTTTACATTATTCTATATTTAATTCCCTCAATGTTATAAAATCTTGTAACATCTCATTTTTTACTCAACTCCACTCTCTAAAAAAGATGCATGGCAAAGTGCTGACTTGACCCTTTTTCTATTAAAGGCCTTAAAGAAGAACTACTGATGCCAGAGAATTTTACTGTCAGTAGCGCTGCGTGGTGAACCCTCCACCAGGCTCAAGAGGTATTACCTCACAAAAACAATTCAATTAGCTCCAAATCTCTCATTAATGGTTTTAGCCATATCAAATTAACATTTTATGGGCTATTGCCCCACTCCCTAAACCGCTGCCTCACACACACGTACACCCCAAAAACACACACACTAACACCACTGACGTTTTTTTAAATCAGAATTTAAATGACTTAATTTACTTTTCTCTGAAACAATTCAAAGAAAAAGGTTAAAGACTCTGAAAATATCTTCAGATTTCAATGCATAATGTCTTCTTTTACTATATTTTTCATAACACTTAAACGTGTATGCTACAAATTTGATGAAAAGGGAAAAAGAGACAGTAAGGAGGAAGAGGGACTGTTCTAAAAATACACACAGAAATGAAAAAAACAAAACAAAGAAAGATAGAAAACAGCAGAAGTGTTGACAAAAAAGTTTCTTAAAAGTCGGCAGAGAAAAAAAACTGCTAATTAGTCAGAGAAAGATGATGAAAACAAGACAAAGTCAGAGGCTTTTATCACAGTTCGCTGACAGGACCTGGCGCATAAACAACAAAAAAGATGATTCTGACATGGCTTCAAACTCCACCAATCAAGAAAAATGCAAAGAGGTAGGTTTCGTGCCCATGTGTGCACAGCCACATAGACACAATCTGAGATTAGATTTAATGAGCCAGACTCACCCAGCGCGGCTGGTGCAAAGAGGCTGGCGAGGACAAGCAGGCGTGCGGTCCACATGGCCTCCTTCTCTCACCGCCCGCTGCTCAAAGTCCCAGATGAGCTCAGTACTAAGTCTTTAGCTGGCAAATGCCCCAATTGGTTGCTTCCTTTATGGCACAATTCCCTCCACTGCGCCACTCTTCCCGCAAGGCCCAAAGTCGTGGTGCTCTGATCCCCGATGCTTCCCGATAACTGTCAAGACAATACAAGAATCATAACAAATATGTTAGCTGAACAGAAAGTTGGGGGAATTACACACATTGCAAGCCCTCCTTAACAGGAACAATGAGAGTGTTGCTGTTAGAACAACAACAGATGGATGCACCATGGCTTTATCATCCACGCGCACGGTCCTTATGTCAACGTGGGTTTCAAGTTGCCATCAAGTGGCACGGTGCGTGTTGCTCCATCTCCAGTCAGCCTGGGCTCACACCGAGTGTGATCAACCAGACGGGGAGCTGATGTGAATCACAAAATGTATTTTGTTGTTTTTTTTGTTGTTGTTCTTTGCTCACCGGAGTGTTAACTCCACCCTCCCTATCCCCACCGACAAATCACTCCCAGGGAGAAACAAAGAGGGAGAGATGAGGCAGCTCAGGAGGACAAATACACAAGTGTAAAGTAAATATATATTTTGTGCAGAATGGGCTCGAGGCTCATGTGTGTTATCCTGCAAGGCCTGATGGTAATTGACATAAGAAATGCAGAGGTATTTTCTGTTTTCCTGCAGGCAATAGCCATAACTGCACAGTCTCAAGTGCTTGCACCTGTGAATGTTTGTGCACATCTCCAGAGCTTTCATCCCTGTAAAGAAAACATTTACATTAACCAGATCATCTCCTTGACCTCATTAAAAAGGGCACACCTTTGAGCTCTCAACACTGAATGAAATCACTGCTTTTCATGCAAAAGCAGGAGCTGCAAACATCGTTCGAGATGGCGATTCTGCTGTAATAGCACTTATGTGCATAAAAACCTCAAGCGTGAAAGTGTGCAACAGCGAGTCAAAGTGGGATACATACATAGTTAGCAAAACCACGGTTAAGGGTGGATAAGCATTTTATGTTCTGATGAGATTCATGAGATAATCCCAGTAAACGCGTATCATGATATTAAGGTTAAGTCAGCTTTCGTGATTAGGCCATCCGAGCCCTTCTATTATCCATAATCAGCCATGATCTGCTGCACACACATAATCTCTGCAAAATGATACAAGCCAAAGACTGCACACAATGCTGTTATCCTCTGCAAGGGCTTTATCGCTGCACATTAGGGAACCCATACTGCATTTTATATTGCAGTAACCTAATTTCTTAGAAGACACTCTACAAGCAAAAGGTCAGAAATTCAACAACATAGCACTTGGGAAGCTAAATGACACACACACACTTTATCAGATTTTTCCACCCATCCATCCCAGTGCAGTACTCTTCCCTAGGGTTCTCTACTGAGCAGTGATAGTGACATTTACCACGTCTTGGAATCTAGTCCTTAATCCCAGTTCAAAAGTTCAAGATTAGAGTAATCAGGTTGTTTTTACCATGATTTATGAGTACAATGAAACACGGAATGCCCGCAAACAATTGGACATTACAGATCAATCTGCTCATCAGCAAGACATCCTCCGGCAAACATTTGTTGAAGCCATTTTAGTCATACTTAGATTTTGTGGTATGTGCAGTGGATGACAGTTACAAACTCACCAAATTGTAGCTTGACATTTCTTAAATTGACAGAGTTTTACTCATTTTTGTGTTTCCTGAGGTCAGTTATTTTTGGTGACCATCCTGAATTGAACTGACAACCAAAGACGATCAGTTGGAAGGGTAAAGGGCTATTTTCTGTACAATGGGCCATGCATACCATGAAGGTCTGGGAAAGTTGAAGTTCTGGTGGTGGAAACGGGCGTGTCTCCATTACACCAGGCTAGCCTGAAAGGACCACTTTCTGGGTCACTTCAGGAACCACCCAACCAAGTACCTGAACTGAGGTATGTACTTGGGAATGGCCCTGTAGCTTTGGTGGGCAGGACTTGTGATTAACTCATTGGTTGTATGTAGAAGGGAAAATACATCAGCAGACATTGTCAAACAACTAGCACTTGTAAAAATGGAGGAGTTGATAGATGAGCAGCATTGACGGTGCTTTAAAACTATTGCTTCTAAACTTCCAAAGACAAAAGATGCGTCAGAAGTCTCCCCACAACACCGTAACTCACGGTGCACTATGGTCTCCTACAGAGCAACGTAAAACACGGCACTTCTTCCAGTCATTAAACGCAACATTTTGCATCGCACAGCCGCTCTTCCCATCCCCTGAATGAATTAAATTAAGGCGTATGTTGACAGAGTAAAACATCTTTATTGTTATTAATATCCGTGGACGCCTTTTGGTGTTCCCTTCCCAAATGGTGCGATATGCTGACATCTTAGGAAACTCCTGAAATAGTCAGTTTTGTAGGGAGACGCAAAGGCTGAGAGGATTGAGTCAATAGAAAAAACAACTGTTAAGTAGAGTGACTCCATCCATTTTCATCTGATTATCCAGGGTTGGGTCACGGAGGCAGCAGTCTAAGCAGAGAGGCCAAGAATTCCCTCTCCCCAGCCACTTGGACCAGCTCTTTCGGGGGAATCCCAAGGCGTCCTGGTTCTTCCTTTAGACCTCCTACTGGTTGAACATGTCCGAAAAGAGGCATCCAGGAGGCATCCTAACCCTAGCCCAAGCCACCTCAACTGGCTCTTCTTGAGGACTGACTATAAATAATATTTAGTAGACGTACAGGACACAAAAACTGTAATCCAGAAGGGCTTATTTGATCAAATACAGTTTTCTAAATATAAAGCTAGGGCAGTTGTACTAAACCAAAAGTTGCATGTGACAGCAAACTATATCCTGTTACTTTATCATCATATATTTTAAACAGCAACATTTTCCATCAATGATGGCTTGTTAAAGGCACACTAGACAGTTTTGCTTGCTTTTAGCAACCCCTGGTGTCTGTTTAGTAGAACTGAAAGCAAAACTTTACTCCTCCTTGAGCATTTGTCTTTTTAACACTTTAAGTTAACTGCTGAAATGTCTCGCCAGCCTGCCTTATTTTCTACAGGAGCAGTTCACCACTCTGAAGTTGCAAATGTGGTACTCAGGCCACAGGCGGCAGTGGGGTCTGAGTGACATTCCATTAACCCTGTTAAAAGTCAATTTAGCACATACTGGCTCAAGAAAATTGTTCAAAAATATGAAAAAAGTTGCAAAGTATGGCTTTAAAATACAATAAAGAAAAGAGAATACATAAAGTGTACGGAATGAGACCAATTCCAAACCATGCAGATAACAAGCATGCTGTGAATATATCTCACTGCAAAAAGGATCAAATTGTAGCTACTTGCACAGGTGCAACTTAAGATATGATCACATAAAATAAAAAAATATAAAAAACATTATCAGAGTACTTAATTTGCTTAACCTGAAAAAATATGGGAAAAATGTGTGGGCTTAGATACTGAAACTGCAATCTTTCGCCAAAAGAAACATCATAAAATACATATTTATGAGGACGGCTTGGACCTAGTTCAACAGAAACAAGGGGAGGAAAGAAAAAAAAAACAACCAAGAGACACAGCGTTAGTCCAGTACTGCCAAGATGTCTTGTATTCCAGAAGGAGTCTTATGATACATAACGCCGCTGACGTTTCAAGGGTACTCTTTCAGAGGGGGATTTAGGATGACTCCTTTAGATAAGTTGGCCAACGTTTAGCAGACCTCGCAACAACTGCAGCGTCTGTTCTCTGCCACATCAAGGAGACTTCTTCATTACGGCTGCTATGCTTCTTTGCAACTTTTTCTCACTAATCAGCAGTGTTGTTTTGTTATTTGAGCAATGTGCCAAAAGGGGTCCAGATGATACGTGACAGTTCTAATTAAGAGAAGTTGTTCTAATCTAATGTCGTTTAAGGACAGATGTGGCTGATGAGGGGATAAAATGTTGCTATCATGTGGCTGAAAGACAAAAGTTGGTAATATGTGTTGTCAGGAAAAAAAAATTGAAGTGATTTTTGTTTCTATTTAAAGGGGTAAGAAGGAAATGTGTATAAATGTGGTAAAATATATACGAACAGAAGCTAGGATGTCAATCATGCAGTAAGGTGCTCCAAAATTTTGTAATTTTAGTCAAACAAGGTTTAAAAATGTCTAAAGTTTGTTTTTGTTATTACCAACCAACTCCAACAGACATCCCTTAAATCATCTTATTTGCTTCCAACATGTTAATCTAACATGCAATAAACCAAGAAATTAAATATCCAAAAGAAAAAAATAAAACTAAACTGAAATGTGATGACTTTGCTGTACAACATGTGTATTTTAATTTCTCTCTTTGTAAGAAGAGACAGAAACAAATGGGGAGGCAGCGGCAATTTGGCCCGATTGTAAAAAAGGTCTTCAACTCATTTGTGCAAGACAGATAGCCAGATGTCAAATACAGTATAACAATTGTTTTACATCCTCTTTAATGTACAATTTACACATTTAAAAATTGAAATACACAACCGGTAGTTAGATATTCTCACCGTTTAACAGCTAAAAAGTACTTCTGGTCCTAAACGGTAAACAAAGCTGAATTTGTAACAGATACAGAACTGTTTTAAAGGAGCCCAGCATCAAATAAAAATGTAACCTGTTCTTTTTTATTAAAAGCAATGTCAAATTTGTTGTAAATTTTGCTTCCATTGACATAGAATGTTTTGTAAGGTTTCAATATGGAATAAATCCTTTCTGCGGGCCTTGTTGAAATGAATTTTGTTTCTGGTTGCTTATTTATTTATTTATTTATTTTACAAAATTTCTGCCCAGCACTAGACCACGGTTCCTGTCTTGGCTCCTGTGCTCCCAATTTGTTCAAGAATCTGAGCTTAATGTTAATTTAAAAATATGACTAGGTTAGGGTCGTGCATTTCTGATCTGTGGCCAAAATGAAATCAATTGTGATACACTGCATACAATCGGATTATGATAAATGATAAATGACCCACACTTGTATAGTGCCTCTCAGAGTAAGGACTCCAAAGTGCTTTACACTACAGTGTATCATTCATCCATTCACACACATATTCACACACTGATGGTGATGAGCTACAATGTAGCCACAGCTGCCCTGGGGCGCACTGACAGAGGCGAGGCTGCCGAGCACAGGC